AGTCCCAAAAATGTAATGATGATAAAACCACAATATCAACAATAACGAAGGGATGAAATATGATAAAAAGAAAGGCAAAGTAAACAGAAGAAGAAAAAAAGATTTGTCTTTAGTTCAAAGTTTTCGTCGAGTGGTGGCGGTGCTGTCTCTTAGCCCCTCTGTCTTGCACTCCATCCTAGGCTCAGACATCTGGCTAGTCACGTGTCCATTCTAGAGGGAAGAGTTCTGAGTGTGGATTCCGTGAAGCTGGTGAACCTGCGTGGATATTTTGCGTGTGGATATCCTCGAATGGAAATGACACGGATCCATGTATATTATAACCATGAACATACACGTGGGGAAGATATAGGTTTATATGTATGATACATAACAGACAGACATGGGCAGCCTCACACAAACACACACACACACATACACATGCACGTGTAAGCACACTCATACATGCACGCACGCCCCTCCCCCCCCCCCCCACACACACACTCACACACACACACACACGCACACACACACACACACACACACACACACACACACACACACACACACACACACACACACACACACACACACACACACACACTCACATAGAGGTTATATCCACACACAAACCCACTTGAAAAAAAGCACGAATATATATATATATATATATATATATATATATATATATATATATATATATATATATATATTCCAGTCTAAAAAAAAAACTAGAATATGGATTTTGTTTATTATCACGTTTCACCATACACCTATGATTATTTTTTATTTGAGAGATTTGACAGTCAATCTAATATTATAGATTTGGAAAAAATAACTCTTCCCTCTAATAAAATGGACCTTTAGTATCTTATTATAGAAAGTATTCTAATTGACAATGCTTTTGGAGTTGAGTAATTTGGAAAAAAATAATAATAAAATAATCGTTGCTTTTATTGAATTACACTGAATGGCAGCAAATGAATTTCAGATATAATGTGAAGGTATAGAGTTATCTTGTATGTTATATATATTTATATGTTGTCATGATATTCAAATCTATTGATAAATGTAGACTTTTAGTGTAAAATGTTACAGAAGTACAATTTTATTTTTGTCTTTGGCAATAAAAAAGCCATTCCAAAATTAATTATAGTTGACTTGATTACGGATGAGATCACCTGCCTGAGAGTGCCTGTCTGTCTGCAGTTGGTGTTCAACAGGCGACGGAGAAGGATGCTCTGCCGTCTTTCCCAAGATCACAGAGAGAGAGAGAGAGAGAGAGAGAGAGAGAGAAGAGAGAGAGAGAGAGAGAGAGAGAGACAGAGAGACAGAGAGACAGAGAGAGAGAGGAGAGGAGAGAGAGAGGAGAGAGAAGAGAGAGAGAGAGAGAGAGAGAGAGAGAGAGAGAGAGAGAGACAGAGAGACAGAGGAAGGAGGAGGGAGAGAGAAGAGAGAGAGAGAGAGAGAGAGAGGGAAGGAGGGAGGGAGGGAAGGGAGGGAGGGAGAGAGAGAGAGAGGAGGAGAGAAGAGAGAGAAGAGAGAGAGAGAGAGAGAGAGTGTGTGAGAGAGTGAGAGAGAGAGAGAGAGAGAGAGAGAGAGAGATAGTCGCAGCAGCTTCTTTGGTTTTTTGTCTCAGTGGGATCTCTTTTAGGCCTCTCCTCGACTCTATAGGAATTCCTCTCCTGTTTTCCTTCCCTCTTTTTCCTTAACTCTCCTTCCGCCGGTTCCTTCCCTCTCCTCCCATCTCCCATTTCTCCCGCTTTACCTCTTTTCCCTCTCTTTCACCTATCCCTCCTTCCTCTTTTCTTCTCTTTTCCTTTGCTTTTCCAACTTCCTTTTCCCGTCTCTCCATCTCCACTCCTTCATTAACCTCACCTGTTCCTTACACCTTCAGTTCCTTGCTTTCCTCCCTTCTTCCCCACTCCTAGTTGCCCCTCCTCTCTCCCCTCTCCCCCAGTTC